GCTCTTCTCTAAAATGTTTTCATTTCTTTTTAAGAAAAAAGCGATTTTTCTCACATTTCGGCGCATTAGTCAGCCTGCAGCAGCAGCAGCAGCAGCAGTCGCTGCAAGTGTCGAGCGTTGATGGCTCAAATCGCATTTTATTTTTAGGCAATTCGAATAGCGCAATTGTGTTCAACACATGTTCGAGATTTGACCAACTCTCGACGCCCCGCAGCGAATGGAACTGGGAGCTGTTTTGCTCTGAACAAATTAGTGACATGATTTTGCCCAGAAAAATAACACACATAGATGTCAGTCGAACGGGCATGCGTGCGCAAATATGCCCGATTGAGACATAAAGCTGCTGTCGCAATTCCACGCCAAAGCTGAAGTTATAATTTGGTTGAAAGTTTGACTAAGACAGTCGTATAAGATAGTGTGATTGATAGAAGTCTTATATATGTAGATTGACTCATGAGCTGGTTGAAAACCTAACTAAGCAGCACTTAATTATAAGACAGACAACTACAAGATCAACATAAGAGTGCTGTTGATTGACTGCTTAATCTGCCTCTATCCCCCCAACCAACAAGCTAACACTAGCTATGTTGACTTATGTACAATAGAGTTTTTGCTGTCTGGCCCAATAGTGCTTCTACTCTAGCTCCTCTCTCTCTATACATGCACACATAAGCTGAAGTTATAAGCTGTGTTAGGTGGTTCGAAACTTGGCTGAGCGGCGCACAAATATAACATAATTATTTTGATTAACATTGCACATATAGCATGCATATGACATGAGACACTTAATATAAGTTATTCTGTGTATGCAAAGCTCTTATATAAAACTACATACATATGTATATTAATTACACCGCATGCTGATGATAAAATTTACAGTGGTTGAAAACTTGACTAAGCGGCGAATTATGTGGGTGTATAAGCTTATGTTATATTAACTCATGCAAATGTAAAAGTGTGTGGCTCTTCTATGCAAGGTGAACTCTTCAATGGTTTGAGACTTGACTAATCACGCATAATATTATGACACTAGCTTTTCTACACATATGATCTTATATAAGACTTAAGCGTACCATATACACGTATGTATATAACAGCTTATATAAGAGTTTGTACAGAGCTCTTTTATTTGATGATCAAACCAAACGTATTTCCAAGGCTGTAAATCAAATGTATAAGACTTTATCAAACAGATGTTTCATTGCTTCTATAAAAATAAATACAGTTATGTATGTGTACATATATCATATCATATATCACATATGTATGTAGTGAATGTCTGTGAAATGTTTTCATTTCGATTTCAAGCCAATTATGAAATATTTCTAGTTTGTTTTCGCGTATTGTTTTTCACTTGCTTTGCCCTTGCCCTCCAAAGTGGCCTATAAATGATGGCACGCAACCAGATCGGTTCAATTTATAATGCCGCACAGATTAGCGACACACGGCCGCAGACAACAGAGTCCGGCCGTCAGGCAGTCAGACAGGCAGACACCCTGCCCCGCCCACCGCCCTCGCCACCCAGTCTCTCTCTCTCTCTCTTTCTCTCTCACGCTCTGCACTCAAATTGGCAGCGGGCCAAAGAGGTCCAGGCCCACGCACTTGACTCTTGGCGCACGCACGCATCTGTGCCAGAGGAGAGAGTGAGAGAGAGAGAGCCTTCACTGTCCCCTCTCTCTCTCTCTTTCTCTTTATAAATATATGTTTATATAGTGCGTCAGCAGCACGGAAGTATCCCACGTCCCATCGTTTTTTGATTTATGCCTCGTTTCGCCAAAGTCAACAAATGGAAATGACATTCGCTTTTTTATTTAATTTTTTAACTTTTAATTCTTAATTTGTTTTTACTTACTTATCGCCGCAGTCTTTTCGCATCCAAGGCTGCTTTCGCCCATCGCAACTCTCGTCCGGCAAACGTATGAATATAAATCCACATACATATAAATCCATAAATATGTATGTACATATATTTATGAAATATTATAACAATAAAGAATAAATAATATGTGTGAATATATGAATGAATTTCCATTTTACAAAAAAAAAAGATCAAAGGTAAAAAAATATATGTGCATAAATATTGTCCTAAACAAATAAAATAAAATATATTTCGCGTCTTACTTAGAAAATCTGAAAACTATTTTATTGGAAGAAATAATTTCATAATAATTTTACTATTCTAAAACATTAAACTGATTTTAATATAAAATATTTTCATATTATGCATTACAATAAAAAAATGTATTATTACGATTTTATTTTATTTTATTTTATTTTATTTTATTATTAGTTTACTAACAAGTTTTTACAAATTTCAAAGTTATTATTTATTCCTTAATGATACTAAAAAAAATAGGTAAAATTTATATAAAAAATAAATTCTATGCTTGATGTAAATAAAATAACAATAAAGAACAAAGAATAATAATATAATATGCAAAATATGTAAGCAAATTATAAAAATAAGAAAACTATAATGTCAATTGTATATTAATATATATTTTTAAGTATTTAATCAATAATAATAATTTACTAACCAAAATTACCCTCAAGAATATGTATATTTACATTTATTTTATTTAAGTGAAAATCATTACACAGAACATTATTTTTAATAATCATTAAACATATAAGAAAAACAACAAAATAAATAAACAAAAAAAGAAAAATATATTTAAAATTGTTTCTCAGACATTTGGCACCGGAAGTCTAGAAATGAAATTCAACGACATTTACCGGCTTCCTGCGGAGAAGAAATTTTAATATTCCCCTTTACAATGTATATTTTTATACACTGGCACGCTCATTTTGCAATTGATGAACAAACGGCGCGTGGCGAATGGGGGTTGGAGCGTAGCGTTGTGGGAGGGGAAGAGAGGAGGAAGAGAGATGGACACAACTCATTTCAAACACACACACCTCTCCAAAAGCCTAAACTAATATGTCTCGACCCAATCAACATTCTCACAAACCTGAGTGGGATTTGAACTCGGAGCTATACAGCGACGTATAAGTAAGACAGTACACGCAGTTCAACGTTCAGCACCAAAGTCAGCTTCATATTTAAGGCAACAACTGCAGTAACACATTTAACAAATACTTTTTGTGATTGTGGTTCGAACCCCAGCCTATACAAGTTAATGGTTCATTATCAATAACTTGAAATTATGTACTATTTTGTTGCATTAAATTTTTTTAAAATGAATTTCATATAGCAAATTAGTCTCAGTCAAATTTAACTACTAAAATAATTAATATTAAAGTTAGATAAGCTAGTTTAACGAGGCACAACTGGCGACCGCTGTGCGTCATTTAGTATGCTTACTTTTAAAGCGCCATCTATGTCTTATAAATGCAAAATGTGCCAAGTGCTGCCAGCTTTTTTAACAAAACCTTACACGTAGATGGCGCTGCAAAACTGTTATACACCCGCTAAACACCAAATTCAATTGCAAAATTCAAATTTATTTTTGAAAAATAATGAATGTTAAATTATTGCAAATGGCAAGGAAATATTTCAAAATCTTGCGCGATATTTGTCGGTTTTATGCTTGAAAGCTTTCAGCGTAGGCCCCATTTTAAACAAGTTTAGTGTGCAATTGGCTAAGATTTACCTCTTGGCATGGAATAAAAACAAATTGTGTGGTTTTTGCTTTTAATTAAACTGATTTTATTTTCGTCCGACTTTCGTTATATATTTATCATTTATCTTTTACGTGCTTGCATTGTTCGTGTTGTTGTTTTTATTTGATTTTTTTTTAATTGATAAAAAGTATAAGAATTAAATACTTTCCTTTATGGAGAAATTTCTTAGAAACGTTTTCCATTCTGTAGAAGCTTTATATGTTAACTATTTATCAATATTGTAGCTTTGGGCGTCCATAAGAACTTACGAAGATGAATGAGATTGATCGACTAGCCTAAAAATCGATAATTATCAATAATCGTGAGGATAACAAATACAATTTTAAGAATATATTCAACGAGGTTTATGGATCGATAACTATCGATCGATAAATATGAATTAAGGAAGATGCAGAAAGTAGTGTATACATCGATAATAATCAATACCATTTGAAGGAAGGCCGCTGCAGTTGCTTATCGATATATTCGATAACCATCGATAAATCGTAAATGCTGGCAAAATCAGATAAGTATGCGTAACTTATTGATGTCTCTCACATATATGTACATACATACATATATGTATACATCTACATACGCCTTACGACCCTTCCACTTCGATCCGCTGACTTCGCTCGCGTCGCCTTTGGATGCAATGAAAAATGCGTTGATCGATGATCGATTCTAATTTGATTCAATTTAATTTAATTTAATTTGAGTTTTAATTTTTCTGAACTACATTTTACATTTTGGACACATTTTAATAATTACAAAAAAAAAAAGAATAATAATAATATTATTTATTTTAATACTAATCTTATGCAAAAAAAAAAAAAAAAAAAGATTTCGTTATATTTCTTTTCGTTTTTGCTTAAACAATAAAAAGCCTTGATTTGTTCTTCCACTTCCGCCCTTGCCACGCCTGCGTCTGGTGCACTTGCAATCGATTCGAAAACTAAATTAAATCACATTTAGCATATTTTTTTTTTGTTTTTGTTTTTGTTTTTTCTGTTTTTGTGTAACTTTTGCTTAAATTTACTTTTTTTTGCATTTTTTTTTATTCTTTTTTTTTTTTTTTGAATAATTTAATATTTACATGATGTCAAAAAAAAAAAATTAAATTTATTAATAATATTTGTATGTGTATTTGTTAGATGAATGCAATTTTTTTTTATTATGTTGTCTTTTTTTGTTGTTAATTTTTTTTTTTTTAGTTGTTGCGTTTCTTAGGTATATGAAAAAAATTTGTTATCGAGTTAAATATATCGATATACATATTAATTAGATTAAATTAATTAGATTTATGCTTAGAAAATTAACATTGCCGTCTGCTCCTGCTACTGCTGCCACTCCTCCACCCCCTCCTGCTCCTGCTGCTGCTCAATAAATATCTCTCGCTCTCCCTCTCCCTCTCTGTTTCTCTCTTTAGAATAAGACATCGATGTACATATTTCATCTGCTGCCGCCCTCCGTGCCGCCTGCCCCGCCCATCGCACCGCCGCCGTTCAGGTGCTCCTGCTTGACCTTGAGCAGCAGCTGCTGATGCGCCAGCGTTTGCGCCTCGTCCTCGTCGTCGCAGATGTCGATTTCGCCATCGGCGTCCGCATCCCCATCGATATCCGCAACGTTGTCGGCCTCCGCATCGACATCCGCATCGACATCCGCATCGCAGTCCTTCTCCATATCCTCGTCCTCGTCGATCTCCTCGTCCGGCTCCGACTCGGCCACAGCAACGGCGGCGACAGCAGCAGCGGCCGCCGCGTTGCGTGCATTCGCGGCAGCAGCGACGGCCGCAGCGGCAGCAGCCGCAGCCACCGCTGCCTCAGCATAGCCAGCGGTGCCATGGTGGTGCATATGCATCGCATGCTGCACCACCGCCGCCTGCTGCTGCTGCTGCTGCTGCTCGGCCAGCTGCTGCTGCTGCTGCTGTTGCTGTTGCTGCTGTTGCTGCTGCTGTTGTTGCTGCTGCTGCTGCTGCTGCTGTAGCTGCTGCAGGTGATGCAGATGCTGCTGCTGGTTGTATGGGTGGTGCTGCTGCCCAGTGGCTGCTGCGGCCGCCGCCTGGCCATGGTGATGATGGTGATGGTGCATGCCCGCGTGCATTGCCGCTGCGGCGGCGGCAGCGGCTGCCGCATCGCCGTGGTGCTGGTGGGCCGCGGCGGCGGCCGCTGCAGCCGCGTTCGCCGCTGCGATGTGGGCGTGCGCGTGGGCATGGGCGTGCGCATGGGCAGCGGCCGCATGGGCATGGGCATGGGCGTGCTTCGACTGCTTGTTGCCGCCCGCTGACGGCGGCGGCGGCGCATCGAACAGCAGACGCGATATCGAGAAGCTGGAGATGGGCGAGTTGTGGGTGCTGCCCGCCGAGTAGGAGGTGTTCGTATCGTCCGAGGTGGGCGTCTCCCTGTCGCTCTCGTCGCTCTTCAGCAGCTCGGCGGCCTCCAGCGACTTCTTGTGCATGCCCAGCAGCCAGGGCGCCACCGACTCGTCCTCCTTGGCCGACTTGATGATTGTCTCCGGCAGCGGCAGCGAGTGCCGCACCATCGCCCCGTACAGCCCATACTCGGCCATCTTGGTGCTGTGGCCCCAGCACTTTTCGGTCTTGCGCCACTTGGCTCGACGGTTCTGGTACCACACCTGCAATAATCACAGAGAGAGGGAGAGAGAGAGAAGAGACTTTATTAGCAAAGTGATTCTCCAGTGGGTGTAAGAGAGAGGCAAGACTTTTGCTTGAGGCATATGAGATTTATTGGATTGATTTGGGTAGAAGTTAGGTAAAGAGGCACGGCTGAGAGTGCATTCTAGATTGATCCATCAATCAGTCAATCATTAGTCAAGAAAGCCATAAATCGTTAAATTACTTTATTTTTCTGATAAAGACTCTCAGTCAGCTAATCAGTCTGTCCATTGACAAACTAGCCAGCCAATTAGTCAATCAGCCAGCCGATTGGTCAATCATGCATCAATCAGTGCGTAAATCAATCACTGTCAATCATACATACAATTTACTGCTCAATGCAGATTGTCAATCAATCAGTTCAGTCAACCACAAAGCAGTTCAATCACAGTCAATCACTCAATCAATCAAACTTTTAAGTCGTTTAACAATTAAGAATAGTCAACTCATTAATCTAGCAACCCATCAATCACAGTCAGTCAATCAGGTAGTTGATCAATCACAATCAATCAATCAGTGTGTACTTTAAAGAGATAGTCTTTCAGCCAGTCAATCAATCTATTCATTAATCAGTAATAAACATCGATTCTCAGCTTAAATCATAACTCAATAAGTTATTCAATCAGCTAACCAGATGGCATTTCAATCACAGTCAATCACAGTCAATCAGTCTATCAGTGAATCAATTAAAGTCACTTAAGCAATCTTGTAGTACATCAATCAGAGTCCATCAATCAATTACTCTGGTAGTACATCAATCAGAGTCCATCAATCAATTTTCCTGGTAGTTCATCAATCACAGTCAATCAGTCTGGCAATGAATCAACTAAATTCACTTAAGCAATCTTGTAGTACATCAATCAGAGTCCATCAATCAATTTTCCTGGTAGTTCATCAATCACAGTCAGTCAATCAGTCAATTAGTCAATCAATGGCATTTCAATAACAATCATTAGATGAATCTGCTTCATCAGTCAATCAGTTGGCTAACTCTATCAATCAGTCAGTCAGTCTGTCTGTCCTTCAATCAATGCGAACCTCAGCTAATCCTTGCCCCAGCTGGGATTATCCCAATTCTCAGCTAAACAAATAGCGAAAATTTCATTAGCGCAAATGCGATAATTAAGCATAAATAGCAGAAGCTAAGCCGCTCTCACAAAAGCTGATGTATGTATGCAAAGCTATATACATATATACTTATATATATATATGTATATGTACATATATATATGAGACACTCAACTACAACTCAAAGTGCAGCAGAGCAGCCAAAACTAATTAAATTAAACAACAGCAATGACAATAACAACATCTATTAGCTGTCGTGGGCTGCTGCTGCTGCTGGGTGGGCGTGGCAGTGTCTATTTTGTTGTTTGTTTGAGGCCTCCATCCAGAGCCTGAGCCGCTGCCACTTGTCACGCAGCAGCTCGCTCAGCCCTAGCTGCCACGCCCCTGCAGCCAACACGCGCTGCTCCTGCTCCTGCTGCTGCTGCTGCTGCTGCTACTCCTGCTCCTGCTGAAGTACTTATTAGTGCCACGAAATGTTGCAAGCAGCTTTGCTTTCGTTTTGCTTTGCTGCTGTTAAACGGTCAATTTTCAATTTTCACAGACAACTTGTAAAGTGGGCGGGTGTGTGTGTGTGTGTGTGTGTGTTTGCTGTGTGTGTGTGTGCGTGTGTCCCTTGGGACAACTTAATCTTCTGTTGTGAAATGTTCAAGCTTTCCCAGGGTAGATAGCAACGCTCTAACTCTAGCAGACTCTCTCTGCTCCCCCTCCTCTACCCGCTCTCCCCCCCCTCTCTCTATCTCTCTTGCTGTCTGTGTCCTGCTGCAATTCTCTGTGGACCATAAAAATAGAAGTCGACGGCGGTCGCATTAAATCCGCCTGCCACGCGGCTCGCTGTCTCTAGCCAAAAGCGAGGGTATTCCTACTTCAATTGCTACAATTGTTGTTGTTGTTGTTGTTGCTGGTGTGATGTCAACATTTGCATTTACAGTTGTTTAGCCGTGTTTGCCGGCTGCACTTGAGAGTTCGGCCAGCAGCGGCAAACATGGCAAATTAAATCTGCTTGAGTTGACAACACTTAAACAACCACCCCCACCGCCCGCCGCCGCCCTCAGTGGGCGGGGTTGAACTCAATCAGTGTGGCTAATGCGTTGATAAATGTCTTTTTAAAATGCGCCTAGTTCGTGCAACTTGTTTTTGTGCTGCCACAATGTATCACAAAAAAAAAGAGAGAGAGAGAGGAAGAGGAAGCAGAAAACTGTGAAAAAAGGTGGGCAGAGGGCGGGGTGCTGAGCGGGTCGATTGGTAATGATATAATGCGTTTGGGATTGCGACAAATGCTAACAAGTGCGGCAAGCATTTGATTTAATCATCTGTTAGTTATGCCCTGCCACAGGATACCCTGTAAAGGGCACAGCTGGGGTAGCTTGAAATGCAGCTGGGCAGAGGCAAAGGAAATGATGGGAAAAGCAGATAAGATGGTAGCTCTAGCTCTTCTATATACTAAATGGTTAAACTCTTTGTAATACCCTGTAATTGACAAGCATACTGAAAGAGAGCTTCACACACTTTTTGTTCAATTATAACCTACATATATTTCGCAACTTGTCTACAGACATATAAACATACATATTTCACATACATATTAAAAGCAGTTACGCAGTATCTATTAGTCGTGCTGCCCTTTTGAGGCAGCGCACGCCAAAAGAGAGGGGGGGAAGAAGTGAGGGAATGCAAATAGCAATTTGTGTAATGCTTTTGTTTCACAGCCATAACCTGCTTTGTTTAAATGTTAATTACATAATTATGCATAATCATTTGTGGCACACACTATTTCGCCCAGTGTATGTATGTGTGTGCGAGAGGGTGTGTATTAACAGCTCATTAAAAACGCAGCGAAAATGCAAAAATTACGGGACGGACGGTGTAAAGTGTATAATTAATGTGCAAACGCGGCTGAGCACTGCAAATTATGCAAAAAAAAAATTTACAGCAAGAGAAAAAAGAGAAGAAATATACAAAAATTATAATGAAATGCAAAACATTTGTAACACTTTTGATTAGAAAGGGCCGACAGCATAATCAAGGAAAAGCCAGCAGCAGCAGCCAAATGAAGGGAAAGTCAAGGCAAATAAGAGAAAATGGGAGAGCGAGCTCTGCTCTCTTATCGATCACAACATATCGATAACTGACTGCTTGAACAGCTCTTTTCTTAATCAAGGAGTGCGCGCCTCTGTCTGTGTGTGTGTGTGTGTATTAGAGTAGGCGAAATTGTTGGTGCTTGAGCGATTTGTTTGGAGAGTTGCCTCATTGTGCCTCAGCTGGGCAATTGCAACAGGCGGTTGAGTGCATGGCTGAATGCAATTTGCGGCTTTAATGCATTTGCAATTTGTTTGCATTGTTTTTATTTTTTTGTGTTTAATGTTTTTCATACGCTTCTGCTAAAGTGTACTTAAAACTGTGGACGAGAGCGTGTTGAAATTAGCAAAATGAAACAATGAGCCAGCCAGTCAGCCTGCCAGCCAGCAACGGCACAAATGGAGCAGTCGAACGGAACTGAGTCACTGAGCCTGAGAGCCAATTGCAGAGTATGTGTGCATGTGTGTGTGTGTGTGTAACAATGATGTGGTGTCATGCATCTGCCATCCTTGTCGTGCCATCCATTTCGTGCACACTCGTAGACACCAGGCGACGAGCGAGGCGCAGCCGAACAGAGCGTTGCACCCGACAAAGTGGCTAATCGTCACTGCAAAGCTCATTAGCGGCAGTTAGCTAAAAACATTCTCGACACTATTGTCGCCTGTCAGTTTCGTTCACTTTTGACAGCGCGCAAATTTCGTTAATTCCCGTTACACACAGGCAAAGGCCAGAAGGCCATTGCCGAACAACAGCCAGACAGAGAGAGGCTGAGCGCGAGAGAGCAATGCGAGAGGCGACAGATTGCATGCGAGCGAGCGAGCGAGAAAATATGGTTCGCTCGGCCATGCTTCTTGCTTCTTTACAGCTATGTGCAAAAATAAGCTGACAGCGACACAGAAAGGCAGAGAAAAAAAAAACAACAGCAACAACAAGAACAGGGGCGAAAATGCACACACGCATAGTGAGAGTGGCAGCGGAACGCACATACAAAATGGAATGCAATTAAAAACGGCAGGCAAAAAAACAAAAACAATCCACAACGAGAACGAGAACAAGAACGAGAACGAACGCCGCGAAAGCGAAGCGAACTTTTAATGGTGGCTTCGATTTGTTGTTGTTGCTGCTGCAGTTGTCTGCATGTATTTGCATGGCTGCCATTGTCGACATTGTGAGCTGCGCCGCCCCTCCGCCTCGCCTTCACGGCAGCCCCTTCAAAATTGCACTCATCGTCAGTCGCATTTCGCATTCGTCGTATCCTTGGCTCTTGTCGTCGTGTCGTCGTGCTGTTGCTAATGATTGCCTCGCCGCCGAGTGCCAAAGACCCAAAAATCCCCTCTCTCTCGCTCTTCCTATCTTTCGCCTCACTCTCTCTCTCTCTCTCTCTCTCCCTCCCTCCCTCCCTCTCCGCGCTCGCACACATTGTGCTTGCAGCGGCAGTCACTCAACAATCTCCCGTTGCCATTCCCGAACGCTTTTTTTTTCAAGCTGTGCGCAGACTGCGCCATATTTGCACTTAATTGAAGTGCGTGCGTGTGTGTGTGTGTGTGTGAGTGAGCGTGCATGTGTGTGTGTGTGCTTCATGTTACTTGCGCGCGTATTACGTATTATTTTTTAAGCCAATTGTGCTTGTTAATTTGATTTGCGCATACAAACACACGCACACATACACACACACACATACAAAGCAATGCACTCACTCTACAGGCGAAAAAGTGAACGTCAGCCATTTGGTTACTGACTTGTTGGGCTTTCATTTGATGCTGCTGAGTGCTGCATGCCTCCTCCTTTTGCTTCTCCTGCCTCTGCTCCTCCCCCTGCCAGCAGCCGTCTCCCTACCACAGACTCTGTCACTTCTTTTATCATTGCCCTGGTCGCCCAACCCAGCCTCCAAGTTTGCCTCGCCCCTTAAGTGGGCCTCACAAGCAGCCGCAACAGCAACAGCTGCCATTACCCCCCTCCTCTCTAACCTAACGAATTCCCCTCGCTTGGCGCCATCTTGCGGCTTATCAAGTGGCCCAAAATGTGTGTGGACGAGGCAGAAAGAGCGCGAGAGAGAGGGAGATGGCATGCAACTTCAGATTAGACTTTAGACTAATAAAGAGATCTGTATTATTATTATATTATTTTTGTATTCCTGATTATTTTTTGAATTCTTTTCTTTCCCTTTCATTCATGTATTTATTTATAGCTGAAAAATTATCTAGTAATTTACTTCAAAAGGGACTGCAAAGGGGAATTAAGATGTGCATCTGCATAGAGCTTATCTCTGATGTGTATACAGACTATCTTTGTAGAATCTGCAATCTGGAATCAAAGTCTATACGAATTTCTCTGCAGATTCGTAATGCTATATAAATTTGAGAGTGAAACTCTTCTGGGCAGAGTGTGCCTTGAGTACTTTTGTATATGGATATGGACAATCTTGAGTGGGTCTGTCTCTCTCTCTCTCTCCCTCCTCCTCTCTCCCCATATATGTATGTGCATATGTACAATATTCTTAACGGCTTTTCAAGCAACCCTTTTGAAGAGGCTGCCGAGCCGCAATTACTCGCGCTGCAAGCTCATCCATCGCAAGTGTTGCAAAGTGAAAGTGTTGCAAGGAGCCCGAAGTTGTGGGGGCTCTCTGTGCGTTCGCACTTCGCTCGATCGCTGTCGCATTTTTCCAATTTGCGAATACTTTTGATGCGTTTGGAGTGTCGACGGGTGCCGATGGCCACGTTTTCTTACTTCATTTCGAATTGTTCGCGCGAGTGTGTGTGCACTCGTAATTATGTAATCAGTGTGCCTCATTATGTGCCCCGCTACCGCCCTCTCCCTTTGTCTCTCTCGTTCCACTGCTGCAGCACTGGCAACAAATCGAAGCAGCAGCTGCCTCGGATTGCTCCCAGCCGCGTCTCCCGGCCGTAAAATGAATAACAGAACAGAAACCAGAATTTTACGAGCGCCCATCAAATCGAACGCCATTGGCGCCAATCACACGTGCCACGTGCCGCACTGCAGCTGCAACGTGCTACGTGCCACATGCTACATGTCACATGCTACCTGCTCAGCTCTCTCTCACCTGTATGCGATCCTCGGCCAGTCCCGTTTTCATGGACAGCAGCTCCCGTGCACTGACATCCGGATAGTGGGCCTCCTTGAAGGCCTTCTCCAGCTCCTCCAGCTGGCTGCTGGTGAATATGGTGCGTCCGTGTCGTCGCTTGTTCTTCTTCTTGCCACCGGGCCCGCTGCCGCCGGGGCCGACGAGCACATCGCCGCCGCCATGGCCGGCGAGCAGGCCATTCGGATTGGCCGCCGCGCCAGCTGCCGCGCCCAGGAAGGCCGCCTCATGCCCGTGATGCACATGCCCATGGCCATGGCCATGCCCATGAACGTGGGCGTGGGCGTGCACATGATGCGCCGCATGAGCGTGATGCGCATGATGAGCGGCCGCTGCGGCAGCGGCATGATGATGTGCCGCTGCTGCTGCAGCTGCCGCATGCTGATGGGCGGCCAAAGCGGCATGATGATGCGGCGGCTGCTGCTGCTGCTGCTGTTGCTGCTGCTGCTGCTGCAGCGCATTCGATGTGGAGGAGGAGGATGTGGCGCTCGAAGCGGAGCTAGCGCTGGCAGCATTGCCGTTGTTGTTGTTGCTGCTGCTGCTGCTGCTGTTGTTGTTGTTGTTGCTGTTGCTGCTGCTGCTACCGCTGCCATTGCCATTGGCCGGACCCGCGGACAGCTCGACGGCAGCGAGAGCCGCCGCATTCGATTTACTTGGCGACTGCTCATCGCCGCTGGCATTGGCCAAGCTGTTGGCATACTCCTGACCACGTGCGGCCGCTTGTTCTGCAAGAAGAAGACAAAGAAGAAGAAGAGCAGAGTGTTAGCAATATGTAAGATGCATTGCATGCAGCAACAGCTGACGCAGACATTCCGAACACATGTTTAATCACACAATCGCAATTCACAAGCCACAATAAACACGCCAATCCCAATCCCAATGCCAATCCCAATCCCATTTCCTTTAAATGCTTGACAATAGAGCATGTCATACGAGCATCCTGGCTTCAATAGAAAAAAAATGAAAGAGAAACTATGTGTGCGTGTGTGTGTGTGTGTATCTGTAGACTATTCCTTGGCAGCTAGATTTTTTGCACACGATATGCGACAGCTGGAAAATTGTTCCATGCTCGCTTGCCTCTCATTCAAAGGCGCGCAGATTTTGACAAGTTGCCAGGATTTATTCAAATGTCAGCGAAGGGTTAAGCGCACGTTCTCGTGTCCCTTTGCCTCTCCCTCCCTCTCTCTCTCCCTCTCTTTCTCTGGCTGGGCTTCTTAGAAAATGTTGCCACAAAATATTTTCTTTAGCCAGTTTTGTTTTTTGGCTTTTCATGGTGCTCAAGGGAAACGTTAAGGGCGCAACTGCAATCGGGTCTAGCGAATCATCAAGATGGTTTCTCTCCCTCTCTCCCTCTCTCTCTCTCTCTCAGTGTGTGTGTTGTGTTTCGTGTGCGCTTTGTTTTGACAATTAGGGTGTTAGGGTGTTAAGTGGTTTAGCCCTTTTTTCGTCTTTCTTTCGTTTTAGGTCTCAAATTAAACGGGAATCGGCTTAGGCGTGTCGCACGGGGCGTTCTATTGTGATAACACACACACGAACATTCTCACTGGCAATGTTGCTCTCACTTTACACCATCAGCGAAATTAGTTTCCGGGCCACTCGAATCGAGTCGACTTATCTCAGCTAAACTTTGGAATTGATTCCAATAATATCTAACAGTTCTTAAGTTACCACTTATTATAATATATATTGATTGTTAGCTAGGGGTTTATAGACTAGAGACTAGAGACTAGGACTAGAGACTAGAGACTAGAGACTAGAGACTAGAGACTAGAGACTAGAGACTAG